TGGGGGGCCTCTGCCGTGGACTGGGGTGGAGGCTCCGTCATGGGCTGGGGAAGGGCTGTGTGGTGGGTTGGGGGGATGGTGGCTCTGTGTGTCCCCAAGGCGAGGCGTACCAGCACCGGGGACGCTGTCACGACGCAGGGGTCTGGCCTGGACGGGGGACAGCCGGTCCCTGGGGGGGGGACAGCTCGAGGGACGCTGGCTCCGCTGGGTGCGGGGCCCGGAGGGGGTGTCCCTTGCCCTCCCCCCTTGTGCTGCCCGGGCCCAGCCCAGGTCCGGCTCTCCGGGAAAGGTGGGAGCTCCTGTCCCGTGTCGGGGAGGAGAAGGGATGTAACGCAGCCCGGGCTGCGGAGAGCTCGGCGCTGGGGCAGCCAGCCCTGAGCACATTAGCGTCTGCTTTGGCAGGGGTGATTGTGGGGTTTGTATGCAGCTCTCTGTCTCCTCAGAGAGGAATTCATTAGTGGTCAAACTGGTCTGTGTTGACGGGCAATTATATTCTTCCTTAATACCAGAACTTAACCCAACCAGCTCTTGCCCAGCCGGGACAAGCCTGATGTGGTGACGGGTCACAGCGTTCCCTGGGCTAGCGAGGCAACTCTGGTGCTACGGAGTGGGTAACAGAATCATCCCAAAAGGCTGGAGGCAGCCAAATTCCTGACCCCATTTGATAAGCCTCAGAAGTGTAAGAGTTGGAAGAGCAGTTAGCAGGTGGAGGGGCCCGTGGCCTCCCATGGTACCCACCTTTCCACACTGGCTCTGATGGCAATCCAGCTTTGCTGGCACTCTTTTTTTCTGCAGGCAGGGATTCAGAGGCCCTTCCCTCTGCTTTCCGCTTTGGCAGACAGTTACCTGCCATTAAAAGTAAAGGTTTAAGATCCAGAACGTGGCGTCTGCATGGCAGTGTGCTGAGAAGAAGGGCCCTTCTCAGCGCCCGGTTAATTTTCTGGCTCCCATTTTGCCCGGCTTTAGGACTTTCCCCGCCCTGACAACGTGGGGGAAATTAATACAGCGCACGTGCGTGGTCGTTGGATAAGTTAAACGGGGCGGCGTTTCCGTGCAGACGGGCAGAGGGGGTGAGACAGCGCTTGTGCTGCTTCACCCGGTGCTGGTGGCAGCAGCGTGTTCCCTCGCAGCCCGCCGGTGCCGAGCGAACGCACCCAGCTCCGTTTGGTCTTGGCAGCAGAGGGTGCTTTGGCTTGCAGGGGAGCAGCGCTTTCGACGCGGTACCGGGAATCCAACAGCTTGAATTTGTCGTGTCGTCGCAGCACAATAAATAGGCGGGAGGGAGTGTCCCCCGCTGAGGATCTGGGGCGCGGTGAGCAGAGTTCCTCCTGGGTGAGCTGGGAGATTACTGGATCTGTTTTGCCCGGGGTCTCAAAATAGCGTGAGGCAATAAGAAAAGGGAGTTTTCATGGTATGGACCGGAGCCGTTCCTGCTGCCCGGGGTGACGGTGAACCCGAGATCCTGTCCAGAGCGAGGACCTGAACCTCTTTTCTTTTCCGCAGAGCACCTTGAGTGATGCCCAAGAAGTTCCAAGGTGAAAATACCAAGTCGGCTGCTGCCCGCGCGAGGAAAGCTGAGGCAAAAGCAGCAGCCGATGCCAAACGTCAGCAGGAGCTGGAAGATGCCTACTGGAAGGATGAAGACAAACACGTGATGAGGAAGGAGCAAAGGAAGGTGAATGGCTGGTCGGGTAGAAGGGTGTCCTCTAGCTGGTCCGTTGCTCAGCCCGCGAGACGCAGGCTTGCTCAGAAAGGGTCGCTTCTCCTCCCCTGTCCCCCAGCTGTAGCTGTCTCTCCACGCGGTGTCCTGGGCTTAGTTTTGGGCAGAAGAACTGGAACTGGTGGCTTCTCTGGGAGCTAAAAGAAGCCGAGTGTGGGAGTAAGTGTGAGCTTGGATGTGTAATTGAGAAATCTGGTGGATCTTAGAGCTGCCTTCCCGAGGGAGGCAGTAAAAGCTTTATTGTTGGAATCGTTTAAAATCAAATTAAGTACGAGATCAGGAACTCCGCTGCAGGGCTTGATTTTTGACAAGCAGTTCTTTGGCTCTTTTTTTTCTTTCTTTTCCTTTCTTAACTTTAATTTGTTTTTTGTTTTTTTGTTTTTTGTTGGTGAAAGAAAAAGAAATCAGCAGGATTAAGGATTACAAAGTTGGGGTTTTTTTTTTCCCTCCCTGACTCGGTGTGCCACACATCAGGCCGTGTCTCTCTCAAAAGATTCTCCCTGGTTTGCTCTTACCAACTTGCTCCGCTCTGGGTGCTCGTTTCCCTCGGTCTTCAATAAACAGAGCACTTTAGTGCGCATTTCTGGGTTATTTGGGTTTTGTTATTGTCCTGCATCAGCGTTCGACGAATCTGCCTTCTGGGTTTGTGGATTTTTCTAGCAACAACGGTCGGTGATAACTTAGCTGCCTCTTCTGAAATGATTTCTTCACCCTCGCGCCAAACACGGCCTAAATGGGATTTTTGGGGTTAGTGGGTTTGTGCTGCTCGGCGAATTCGGTGCTTGCTGAACTCTGCGTGTCGGTACTCGAGCGCGCTGGCCGGGCAGGCAGGAAGCCAGCGCGTCCCCGTGACCTTGATAGCTGTGCGCTGTGCACGTCTGCGGGAGTTCACCCCTAATATGTGTCTTGACGTTTGGAATTTGGAGTCCTGTGTGCTGTTCCCCCGCGCGATCCTGTAATGCTGCCTAATTACTTCCTGGAACAAGGACTTATTAGTGCTCTACTTAAGATTTTGCCAGCAGTGACCTATTTGACTGGGCTTCCAAAACAACCTCCCGCGAGCAAGGGGCATGGGAGTCTGGAGAGGGGAGCCGTGTCATGGGCTGGAAGTGCCAACTGGAAAACCAGGGTCCATCCCAGAACTGCAGACTGGAGTTTAGAGAAACCAGTGAGGCGGTTTCCACTCGGCACCTCAGCCAGCCCCTCTCCCTGCCCCAGCGTAGCCGTAGTCTCGAGGTCTGAATGTCACCTGAGTGCTGTGTTTCGGTGCGTTTGTGTCCCACGAACCCCCACCGGGGACCTCGCAGCGGCAAAAGCCTCCGCTCGGTTGGGGACCTGTCCTGCCAGGAAGGCTCTGAGTCTAACCGTACCGGTGCAGCGGCTCTTCCTGCTGCCTCAGCCTTTGTTGGAGCAAAATAAATCAGTGAAACCTTCCTCATCTGCTTCTCCGCTGCCGTCAGGCTGGAATATCCCCCCAGGCTGGAATATCCGCCTCCCCCCCCGGAGAACGGAAGAAGCTGCCTTGTGCACCATCGCATCCCGGCAGGGAAGGAGTGTGTGACTCAGATTGTAAACGATTTTCCATCCTCCTTCTAGAGAGGACAGAAAGCGAAGCGTTCGCAGGAGTCAAAACTTCCCCGCAGAAGCAGCGGTCTCGCGGGTGGTGCTGGCGTGGAAATAACGCTGCTGGCCGCGGCCATATGCTGCAGGAGGGACTCGTGTGGCTCTCAGCTACAGCACCCAGAGGAGGGGATGGCGGTGCGTGTAGGAGGATGCTCTCAGCGCTGAGCAGCTCTTGCAGCTCCTCCCCGGCTCTCCGGGCGATGGCAGTAACACATTAACGGCACCGCAGCGCACTCGTGCAGCACCTCCGAATTCCTGCGCCTCCAGCAGGCAGGAGCGGCCGAAAGCCTTCGGGATGTGCCGAGACCCAACCCCGCGCTCCCCTTTTAATCCCTTTTTCCCCCCCGCAGATGACCACCGGAGCTTCAGGGAAATAAGTGAAAGCGCAGAGCTCTTTCTGTGGCGGGGTTTGGTGGCTCTGCCTGGTGGTCTCGCTGGCGGGGCAGCGATGCGCCACTCGAAGCGTAGGGAAGCTTAATGTTCGCAACCAGCGCCTGCTGTCCTGAGAGTCACTGTCGCCAGACGACTGCCCTGTTGTTTGCTTTTGCTGTGTTTTGGGCTTTCTTTAAATGCCGCCACCCCCCACCCCACCCCCCGCCCCGCGGTTCTGAGAGCAGCCGTCCTCTGCTAACAGAGGATGACACTCGTTTGGTGGCTCTGTGATGCATAAAGGAACATCTGAGCTAATATCACCGGCCTGCCATGCGTGTATTCCTCCTCTGGCACTTCAGCACAAGTCACAGCTTGTTACCTTCCCCGGAGAGCTCTGGCTGGAAAGCGCAAAATCTACAGCCCTCTCGCTGGAAGACTGGGAGTTTTACCGAGGTAACTGTTTTTCTTTTAACGTTCGGGTGTTTTCAGCCTTTTTGGCCCTTCCCACTCTTCCTCTGCAAAGTCAGGCTGCGGCTCAGGGCACCCGACGCTCCTCCTCAGCCCCATCACAGTGTGGGGTTTTTGTTGTTTGTTTTTTTATTTTCTCCGTGCAATTAGCTAAAGTGCGTCTGGTGGTGGAACAGCCACGGACGCGTGTGCGTCCCGGGTGACGCTGCGGGCAGGCTTGGAAGGGTGACAAACCATTCAATTGGCCGGAGCGTTACGGGAAGAAGGGACTGGTGGAGTATCTGTCAAGGGCAGAGGTCTCGCAGCCGGAGTCAGACTTTCTCCTCTCTGGCGACCCTGCGTTTACGCGCTTTGTACCCAGCGGGTCCGCGCAGGGAGACCTCGCTGGCTGGGGCCCCTGCTGGAGGCGCGGCA